GAAAGGGAGAAGTTTCCTTGCTGGGTTTGGGGTGGGCAGAGCTGTTTTTTGAGCTCCTCTGCCATTCTCAGCCAAATCAGAAATTGATGATTTAGGCATGAAGCTGCTCCTAAAACGGGGATTAAGCCAGTGTGGTAAACGCAGATTATCAAAGACTGGGATTAACTCCTGGATGACAGGGAGGAAGCTGCTGGGTTTTGGGGCCATTCCAGTGAGATTTGGTTGTGTTCCCCAGATCCTGATGCACGTGTTCTGCACTTACCTGGACTCCAGGCTCCCACCTCACCCCAAGTATCCCGATGGCAAAACCTTCACTTCCCAGCACTTCATCCAGACTCCAGATAAGCCAGGTACTGGACTGGCCTGGGCTCTTTTCCTCTCACAGCAGCACCTCTGAAATCAGCACCTCTGAAAACTGGTTTTTTAATTAATTTTTAATTCAGACACTTCAAACGAAAACGTGTTCTGCATCTACCAGAGCAGCATCAACCCACCTCACTACGAGCTGATCTACGAGTGCCACGTCTACAGCCTGCCCAAGGTATGGGGGTTTGTTCTCCTCCTGCTCTCAGGAATCATTTCCAGGGCTGATTTGGGGTATTTTTAAATCCTAGACACGTTTTTGTCCACTTACACGGAGGCTGGTCCAGCTTGGTCTTTGCCCAGCACGTTTTTGCTGCTGGATACTACCTGTGGTGTCTGTTTAGGATCCTGTTCCTAAGCAGGATCTTCCTCTCATTAATTTTCTGCTAATTTACTGTAAAACCCCAAATCACAGTCCCCAGTGGGTGATGTCACCCCTTGAGACCAGTGCAAATTCCGAGGGGAAGTTCCAAACTAGGAAAATGTTGAAATTTTTACTTGTTTTGATTTCTACATCCTTGTCTCTCTCTCTCTGTGGCTCCAGGGCAGGAACAACATGTTCCACACCTTGCTGATGTTCCTGTACATCATAAAGACAAAGGAGTCTGGGATGCTGGGGTAGGTATCCCGTGGGAACAAGATGGGAATGGTGTCAGACCAAAACCATCACCGTGGGGTGATAATGAATGGTGTTAAAATGGAATTAACAGCAGCTTTTAAATAGGAATGCTAATTGTGATCCCTTTGGGTTTTGCAGGCGTGTAAATCTGGGTTTGTCGGGAGTCAACGTCCTGTGGATCTTTGGGGAGTAATGGGACACAGCCCTGGAGGACAGCGCTGCTCCGAGGGGTGAACTTTGACTTCAGCCTGGATTTGCTACCAAACAGGATCATTAAAGCTCAGCTTTGTGGACAGAGGGAGGAAGTGCCTGGAATTTCCATGTGGGTTTTGTCAGGGCATTGCATAGAACATTTCACTGTGGAAATGCTCCTGTGATGAACTCCAGGCAGGAGTTCTTCCTGCTCCTCAGCTCAGCCAGTCCTGTTTAAACTGAGCTTCACTGATCTCAGACTAAACCAAACCAAACCAAACCTGCTTTGAAGGTGCAGCTGGAACAGCCTCCCCAGGCTGTGCACAGCTGGGAGCACTTGGGAAGGATAAAGCAGCTTGGACAACTTCAGGATCCAAGAAATTCCACAGCCAGAAGCTCCGACTCAGTCGTGCTTTGTTTTATTCTGTATGGTGAAAACCAGTGATTTTTATCCCTGATTATTGGTGTAATTGTGATTTCTGACCCCTCAAGATGTTCCTGCAGCTGAAAAGGAAGGACAAAACCATGTTTGTCTTGCTAAATTCAGTCAATAAGAATTTTACTTATATTTTTGATTTTTATTTTCATTGTTTTGTACAAAACCAGCGTGGCCTCCCCTCTTAGGGAGCCTTGTGAGCTCTGAACTCCCCAGGTACCTTCACTGCCACCAACTCTCACCTGCCATTGCTTTTGAATTTAATTTTCCTTCACCTTTTTTCGCTAATCACCACCTAATTTGGAGCTTTATGCACCTCGGTGGGAAACCAGGCCCTACACACCCACAGGTTTTTGGGAATTTCTACCTTTTTGGTAAAAGCAGTTGGATTTGCTTCAAAGAAAGGATCAATCAATATTTGTCAAATTTCTCTAAGGGGCAGGGGGAGAATTTGTTGTAAATTCTGGTAAATGAGTATTTTAGAAGTGTATATAGGACCATAAACACATGGAATCATTGTACTGTATTTTTTACTGATGGGAGGGAAAGAGGGATTTTTTGGAACTTTGCTGTTTTTTGGGGTGAACTGACTGGTTTTGGTGACTCTGTCTCTCTTTCCTGGGGGACCTGGGTTTTTCCAAGGAACTGGTAACAAAATGGCTCATTTGGTTCTTGTATTAAATGAGTTTTATCAAATGGGTTTTGGGGTTTTTGTTGTGTCCAGCATCACCACATCCATCCGTGTACCTCAGAGGAAATGTTCAAGAACCAGATTTAGCCGGGTTTTACCCCAAAACTCCCCTCCTCGAGGGCAGCAGAGCCCCCTCAGGTCTATTAGCCTCACATTCCAAAAACTTGAAGTGCAGAAATCCCTTCTTTCACCAAAAAGTGGTGATCCTCAGGAAGGGCCCATCCCATAGGGCACCCTTGGGTGCCCTGGCATCTGCAGCCCAGGAGGGTTTTGGGGTGCTCAGAACCCCATGGCCCTCTGTGCTCCCAGGATCCTGCACAGCCTCCAGATGGATCCTTCTGCACCCCAACAAATCACACATCCCAGTCCTGCACCCCAATAAATCACATCCCAGTCCTGTACCCCAACAGATCACACATCCCAGTTCATCTGCACCCCAACAAATCACACATCCCAGTCCTGTACCCCAATAAATCACATCCCAGTCCTGTACCCCAATAAATCACATCCCAGTCCTGTACCCCAACAAATCACACATCCCAGTCCCTGTGCACCCCAATAAATCACATCCCAGTCCTGTACTCCAATAAATCACACATCCCAGTCCCTGTGCACTCCAATAAATCACACATCCCAGTCCCTGTGCACCCCAATAAATCACACATCCCAGTCCTGTACCCCAACAGATCACACATCCCAGTCCATCTGTACCCCAATAAATCACACATCCCAGTCCTGCACCCCAACAAATCACACATCCCAGTCCATCTGCACCCCAATAAATCACATCCCAGTCCTGTACCCCAATAAATCACATCCCAGTCCTGTACCCCAATAAAATCACACATCCCAGTTCATCTGCCCCCCAATAAATCACACATCCCAGTCCCTGTGCATCCCAATAAATCACACATCCCAGTCCTGCACCCCAATAAATCACACATCCCAGTCCCTGTGCACCCCAATAAATCACATCCCAGTCCTGCACCCCAATAAATCACATCCCACTCCATCTGTACCCCAATAAATCACACATCCCAGTCCCTGTGCACTCCAATAAATCACACATCCCAGTCCTGCACCCCAATAAATCACACATCCCAGTCCTGTACCCCAATAAATCACACATCCCAGTTCCTCTGCACCCCAATACTCTGTGCTTTACACCCCTCAGTCCCTGTGCACCCCAATGCATCACACACTAACAGATCACACCCCTTAGTCCTTGTGTACCCCAATACACTGCACCCCAATAAATCACACATCCCAGTCTCTGTGCACCCCAATATATCCCACACCCCAGTCAGTCCCTGTGCCCCCCAATCCACCCTGCTCCCTGTGCACCCCAACACCGCACACCCCTGCTCCCCGTGCACCCCAACACCGCACACCCCCCACTCCCCGTGCACCCCCTGCTCCCCGTGCACCCCAACACCACAAACCCCTTGCTCCCCGTGCACCCCGATACAGGGCACACCCCAGATCTTGTTCATTCTGAGCCCTGCGCATTCCCCATGCACTGTGCGCCCCAATTCCCGGGCACCCCGATGTACCCCACACCCCTGTGCCTCCTGGTCGCCCGGCACCCCAATATGTGCACCCTCTCACCCGTGTATCCCCGTATTCCGCGCACCCCGCTCTCTCTGCACCCCAAAACACCGCACACCCAGGTCTCTCTTCACTCTAAAACACCGGGCACCCAGCTTTCTCTGCACCCCAAAACACCGCGCACCCCGCTTTCTCTGCACCCCAAAACACCGCGCACCCAGCTCTCTCTTCACCCTAAAACACCGGGCACCCCGCTCTCTCTTCACCCTAAAACACCGCGCACCCAGCTCTCTCTGCACCCCAAAACACCGGGCACCCCGCTCTCCCTGCACCCCAAACCACCGCGCACCCAGCTCTCTCTGCACCCCAGAACACCGCGCACCCAGCTCTCTCTGCACCCTAAAACATCGGGCACCCCGCTCTCTCTGCACCCCAAACCACCGCGCACCCAGCTCTCTCTGCACCCCGTTATTCCACGCACCGCGATCCCCGCGCATCTCGGTCCCTGCGCAGCCTTTTCCACCCCGCACCCTCAATCTCTGCATCCTCTCA